TTTAAATGAATATTTAATTGTATTTATGTTTGATATCCAGCCATTTCTTTTTTTTTATGATTATTATTTATTATTATTATTATTTAGCAAAGAAAACTGTTTCTATTATTTTATTATAATTATTATTTAACATAGAAAAAGAGTTCCGACTTTATAGAATCTTAACCAAACGCAATAAGAAGAAACATTTATGCATGAACGAATAATAAAAATACAAAAAAGACAACGTATTGTACAAAAAAAAAGAATTAGCATTGACATCAACAAATGACCACGAATAAATGCAAAGTCAAAATTTAAATTGACATGTGTCTATCGTGACTTCAGTGAGGGGTTTGTGTGCAGGCAGACGGAGATGAAGCCGCAGTTATGAACAGAGGGCGGTGTTCACCAAAGTGGCACAATTTAATTTGTGCGGCAGGAACTGCACGGCTGCGATAGACTCGGTAATGAAACCTCTCAGCTTTAAGTTCTATCTACTTTATATTCACAAAGAGAAACGAGCGAGGCAGTCATTGTGGAGACATGCAAATACGCTGATCTCTTTCATACGAGCTGCACCCAATTGGAGGGAGGTTCAGACTTTGACAACCAGAACAAATGCCCTGCGAGCGCAAACATGTGCAGGTCAGGAGGAAGAATTCAACTTTCTTTATCCTCTTTTCAACGCCAGCAGTCACATTCTGCGTGTTCGCATACTGTTAAATTAGTCATCTGAGATTAGAGACGGCTTAAGGAAGGAAAGTTTTTCCCTTGAAAAGTTGATAAAGCTTTGCAACTTCATGTATACTGAACATATGCAAAAACAAAATGTGGGGAAGTTTGTCTTCGTTGGAGAGTCTGAAGTTTTTCCTGTATGTCCGGTTGATATTAATTACCCACTACTTAATTTCATCAGGGGCCTCTTGACTTGAAAAAAACATAAAAACGATTACAAACAGGCAATAAATGACACGTAACCCATGGTGACCACGATATGCCAAGTAAGTACAAAGAGATGCAAAATACTAAGAAATAGAGGCAAAAACAATCAGAGATGCGACACATTCACAAAATGATAACAAGGACGGGCTAATAAGATCTACGTCAAACAACTACAAGGAGACACAACATGATTATAAAGATGAACAAATATGCAAATGACTTCAAGCACCTGCAAAATGTCAACATTTTACATGGGCCTTTGTTTGCACAGGTCGGCCACTGTCATGGTGTGTTCATTAATAATCCCAATTAAAATTACGAGAGCCAACAATTTACTGCTAGGGCTATTTTTGAAAAACGTTTAAACTGTTTCAAACTGAATGCCAAAGTTGAAATTCTAACAATCCGTAGTGCACATGGCCAAGGACAGATACCACACCCTGCCTCTCCCAACAAGTTACTCTTTGTGTTATGCAGTAAAACCTGTTCCCTCTTCTTCCTGGAAATGACTACACGCACCTGCAAAATGTCAACTAGAGCAACACATTCTCACTCCCAACTCGGCCTATGTTGACGTTACGTCAGAGTCCCTGTCGTCACTTTCCAACGCAAGGGGGGGCCTTTAGCGTCGAGTTTCAACTATCAAGGCGTCCCATTGACTTGCATAGAGCTCCCTGAACGTTGGTAATAGACGAGTTGGGATCGCGGTCGAATCGATTTTGATCATGGTCAGTTTCTGGCAACCCTAATACCCACATGCCAGCTAAGGTCAGAAGAGCTTTATTTAACAGCTGGTTTTATGTCTGTGACCTCTCCTGTTGTTCATTGATAAGCCTGAAACATGCACTTGTCAAGGTTCAGAGGCACATTTTGCAAATATGGCAGTAGCCATCGATCAGCTTAAGATAAGATATACTTTATTGATCCCAAGTTGGAAACATTTGCATTACATTTACATTGCATGTGTAAAAGTTGTATATATGCAGTGGTGTTTATTTGTAAATCATTTAGTATAATCACAGAAATTATGTGTTTTATATTTAATAATTCTGTGTTCTTTATTTATTGAATGTTCAATACCTGACAAGGTCGGAGATGAAAAACCTGGGTCGCAGGTTCCTCAACAGTGCATTACAAGACATCTATCAATATGTGTGTACCTCCACCATTAAACTGTCATATGTTGCACATTTCTTATACTATCTACATACATCTTATAAGAGTATAATACATATGTATAATATCAGTTAAAATAAGTGCTTCAACATACAGTAGTTTACATTGCAGGAAAGCAATATATTAGTAGGCTACTTTGTCAAGCTTAATATTTAGCTTTTTTCTTATTAAAAATAAGACCTTAACCAAAAGTATTCTTTAATGTTTAAATAAAGCCTTATTAGTTTGTCTGTCTGTGTCTCCTATTAATATAATAATTTAAAAAATGCATTTCAATAACGTGCTTTAACCACCAGGTGTCCCTTTCTATCAGCTGTGCACCGTTATGGTGTATACCAATATACCGATTGGATCAAATATAAAAGTCAGCCGAATTAGTATTGATACTGCAAGGAGACTTATATTGTGAAGAGAAATTGAAGATGTTGTTGAGCCCGAGAGATCCCGGTACCGGGGCCCGCCCGCAACATCTTGCAGGAAACAGTGTCTGAGGGCATGTTCATTTAATAAACTATGAATGTTTTGAATCCATGTAACGGGAAGAAACTCATCTAACTGATCATTTTTATTTATTTTTCAACAAAAAAAACACAATGCTAACGCTGAGCCTCTGAACTAGCAACGAGCGAAAAATGCTAACAAATTAACTGCACCGAAACTCACTCATACAACCTTATTATGTATCCATTCTGCACATCCAACCCATCGATCTGATCGTGAGATGACACATAATCGATGGGAACATACATTATCACTCAATGATACGAACTCGCGACTTTATAAACAAAAACAGACATCAAAACATGTGGCGCTAGGTAGCTAAAAACGCTAACATTGTTTACCTGTGTCGTAGTCTGGTCTAAAGTGGTCTTCAATGGCATTACAACGATATAAAACGCTGCTGAAGTTAATCCATAGGTTAATCCAATGTGTCTGTGTCCCTTTGAAATTATTTCTGATAATCCATAAACAGTGTTGGGACTAACGCGTTACAAGTAACACGTTACAAGTAACGCAGTACTTTTCTACTTCAGTAACGCAGTTGCCGTTACTATATGGTGCGTTTCTCCGTTAGTTTTTTTATATAGTCAACAGCCAGGCGAACAGAGATGAGAACTGTACTTAAGTACAGTACTTGAGTAAATGTACTTAGATACTTCCTGTGTCACATGCGGAGACGGGCTGTGGGCGTGTTTGTGTTGTTTACTAACAAGACTATCATGGCGGCGGCGGAGCTCAAGTCTAGTTTCTCCACCTGGAGATATTCTCACTATTTCACTTTTGTCGAGCACAAAGAAAAGAACGTTTCTGTTAAATGTAAGTTGTGTCTTGGCGGGTCAAAGATCCTATCTACTGCCCAAACCAGTCATTCAAATCTCTTAAAACATCTGCAAAAACAACATGCTGGGACGAAGCTAGTAGCTAAGACCACAGAGACTCAGCCGACGCCACTCCACCTCCACCTAAGCAACAGCGGCTGGATTTTAACCAAGGGACTGCTGGCCAGGGAAAAGTCGATAAAGCCATTGCACGGTATGTTGTAGAACACATGCAGGGTATTGCTACAGTGGAGTCACCCGCTTTCAGGGAGCTAGTAAGCATGATAGCATGTCCGGGCGGCACACGGCATATGGGACGGAATACTTTTTCCAACTACCTGGAGAAAGAATATACAAAAATGGAAAGCCAGCTAATATCGATGCAATCCAGATTGCATATAATGCATGTCAAGTTGATCAACAGATTGTATTATTCTCCAATGCAATAACAGTACTGAAATGAAGGCTATAAGGGCATTAATGGGAGACATTTCTTCAAGTAACGAAAACGTTACTTTTCACAGTAACGCATTACTTTTGGGTGTAAGTAACTAGTAAAGTAACTGAGTTACTTTTGACATGAAGTAACTAGTAATGGTAACTAGTTACTGGTTTTCAGTAACTAGCACAACACTGTCCATAAGCAATAAACCTGCGTTTCCGTTTCTAGAAGTCAGAGCTAGAGATACTCTAATGCAAAACGGGGTGTGCGAACTTAAGGCCCCACCTTTTTGTTTTACCATGTGTGTTTGTGGGGAAATCCCCCTTCAATTATATTGGCTCTAACAGTCAGAAAGAGATGTCAATCAGCAAAATCGACAAAGGGGGGCCAGAGATATGGAAAATCCACCCAAATGGCCCCAGAAGTGGTTTTTTTTTGCTAAATCTCTCTAAAAAGGTCAGATTTCACTTGTGTTACATCAATCTTGATACAGGGTACTTATTATATGTTGTACTTTGGATTCCTAAAGCTTTTCCTCACCATCATCCAAGGGTAGTTTTCACTAAGTAAAAAAATATTTTTGGACGGACACTATAATTTACGTTCAATCTGAATTTCTTTAAAATAAAAAACATCTATATTGATTCTGACTTTTCTACATCCAACTCACAGGTTTATCATTACTTTGAGAAAAAAGATTATTAATGTAACCCTTTTAGAAGGGAAGATATGGTCATTTGTTCTGGGAATGTCATTTTCGAGCCTGAGACCTGATAAACAGGCTCATGGCTAACAGGTTAAGCTCTGAGCCTCAGGATCGAAGACGACATTTCCAGAACAAAAGAACAACAACAATTGAAATGGTAGTTTAATATTCATGTCATTTTCAAGACGAGAAAAACTGGCTCAGGGCTTAACAAGTTAAACTGTTTTAAACTGTCAAAGTTGAAAGTCTAACCATCTTTACTGTACATTGCAAAGGGCAGATACCACACCCTGCCTCTCCCAACAAGTTATTCTTTGTGGTTTGCAGTCAAACCTCTTCCCTCTTCTCCCTGTTATAAAACACAGCAAGCACCACCCTATCAAGGTATTCTAGGTCCCTCCCCTTCACATCTCCAGGTATAAGGGTTAGTGCAAACAGCTGATTTCTCATTCACTGCTGCATGTAAACAAGAGCAGGCGGAGAAGAGATTGTTTCTGTTCAGAAAAAGTGAAACTATTTGACAGCTAACACTGAGAGGTGAAATGGCGCAGCAAGAACATTTGCTTGACCAAAAGAAATTCAGATGTTCAATCTGTCTGGATCCACTGAAGGAACCGGTGACTGTTCCCTGTGGACACAACTACTGCATGAACTGTATTCATCGCCACTGGGATGGAGAGGATGAGAATCAAATATACAGCTGCCCAGTGTGTAGACACAACTTTGCACCAAGGCCTGTCCTGGTGAAAAACACCTTGCTTGCAGAGTTAATGGAGGAACTGAAGGAGACTGGACTCCAAGCTGCTCCTGCTGATCACTGCTATGCTGGAGCTGAAGATGTGGCCTGTGATTTCTGTACTGGGAGAAAACTGAGAGCCTTGAAGTCCTGTCTGCAGTGTGTGGCCTCTTACTGTGAGAAACACCTCCAGCCTCATTATGAATCACCTGCCTTTAAGAAACACAAGCTGGTGGAGCCCTCCAAGAAGCTCCTGGAGAGCATGTGCTCTCGCCATGAGGAGGTGAAGAAGATGTTCTGCCGCACTGATCAGCAGTGTATCTGTTATTTCTGCTCTATGGACGAACACGAAGGCCACGATACAGTTTTGGCTGCAGCGGAAAGGACTGAGAGGCAGAAAGAGCTGGAAGGGAGTCGACTAAACATCCAGCAGAGAATCCAGGACAGAGAGAAGGAGGTGAAGCTGCTTCAGCAGGAGGCAGAGGCCATCAATGGCTCTGCTGATAAAGCAGTGGAGGACAGTGAGATCTGTAAAGAGCTGATCCGCTTCATGGAGAAAAGAAGCTCTGATGTGAAGCAGCAGGTCAGATCCAAGCAGGAAACTGAAGTGAGTCGAGTCAAAAAGCTTCAGGAGAAGCTGGAGCAGGAGATCTCCAACCTGAAGAAGAGAGACGCTGAGCTGCAGAAGCTCTCTCACGCAGAGGATCACACCCACTTTCTGCTCAACTACGCTTCACTGTCAGCACTCAGTGAACCTACACTCTCATCCAGCATCAACGTCCGTCCTCTGCGCTACTTTCAGGACGTGACGGCGGCTGTGTCAGAAGTCAGAGATAAACTACAGGACGTCCTGAAGAATACGTGGACCAACATCTCACTGATGGTGAGTGAAGTGGACGTTTTACTGTCTCCACCAGACCCAAAGACCAGAGCTGGATTCTTAAAATATTCACGTGACATCACTCTGGATCCAAACACTGCAAACACACAGCTGCTATTAACTGAGGGGAACAGGAAAGCAACATTCACGAGTCAACGCCAGATATATTCAAGTCACCCAGACAGATTCACTTCATGGACTCAGGTCCTAGGTAAAGAAAGTCTGACTGGTCGTTGTTACTGGGAAGTGGAGTGGAGTGGGATGGGAGTTTGTGCAGCAGTTGCATACAAGAACATCAGCAGAGCAGGGGGTTGGGAGGAAGGTGTGTTTGGATACAATGATAAATCTTGGACGTTATATTCTGACATTGACAGTTATACCTTTCGGTTCAACAACATCAAAACTCCCGTCTCAGGTCCTCGGTCCTCCAGAGTTGGAGTGTATCTGGATCACGATGGAGGTATTCTGTCCTTCTACAGCGTCTCTGAAACCATGACTCTCCTCCACAGAGTCCAGACCACTTTCACTCAGCCGCTCCACGCTGGACTTCGGTTTAAATTATTCACTTTTGGTGCCACTGCAAAGTTCTGCAACCTCAAGTAGGCAGAACTCATTTAAGTCCAGCTCAGTCGGCATGTCAAATGTTGGCATTCTACACTTCTGCAAAACATGGACACGTTGAGTTTCAACATTTTAGATTTTGATAGTGCAATTATGTTAAGCCAATTAACTTGTGGGTAAAATAACTACTGAGGTACTGAAGTACGAAGAAGTATTGTGTTTGGTGTTCCTGCAAGAATGAAACTCTGCTGATTTTAGAACATATTTTTGGCTCAGAAACTTTAACTTCACTTTATCTGGAGCTTTCCTAAAACCTACAATATCAACATTTGTTCTGGGATTTTTAAGTGACAGCAGGTGGAATTCTGTTTAACTTTAGAACTTATTCAGACTCCATGTTTGTTGCTGACAGCTGATAGTTGTGGCATTTCTTCACATTGAAACGCCTCGATTGGACTGCTTTGTTTACTTATGTAACATAATGACATTGTTGAACATTAAAGCATGTAAACATGTCACAATAGAGGAGCAACACACAAATATGAACCTGAAAATGATCATTATAGGGCCTCTTTAAGAAGAAAGCATCCAACCTTCTTTATCCTGGATACTTAGTTTTTTCTTTGTGTGCATTTTTAAAGAAATGTATAATCACATGTATGTGTTGTTACGCTGCGTCCACACTACAGCGTCGACAGCTTCAAAAACGGTTTCCAACGCGTCTACCCATTCACTTTGAATGGGGTGACGTCACGTTGCCTCGCTTTTTGCCGAACTGAATTGTGGGTAGCATAGCGGTCCGTCTCCACCGGAGACGCTGGAGTAGCCAGCGCCAGCCAATCAATCAATCCCGTTTCTGAAAATCTGACAGATCAAGCCGTAGCCAATCAAACCGCGTCTAAACTGGGAGAGATATCCCGCCGTTCATTTCTATATTTCAAAAAAAGATGGAGGAGAAACTAATTATCGCCGTAGCAAATCACCCGGTTTTGTATGACCAGACCCTCTTCACCTACCGGGATACAAACCGGAGGAACCAGGCATGGAGGGAGGTGGCAGAGACAGTGGGTGAAACTGGTAGGTTTTCGCCTCTTTGGGGAGTTTATACATATATACATTGCTCGCATAAAATCCCGGGTTTTTTTGCTTTGTATGTCGGGGGCGGGAGATTCATGTGATTGGTTGTTGGTCGCGTTGCTCGAATAAAATCGCCAAGCTTCAGACACGCCCAGCTCCAAGCTTTTTTTGAAGCTGTAGTGTGGACGCTCCGTTATTGTGAGATATTATACAGCTGTAATCATCCTGATCATAATCAATAAGGACATGATTCATTATTTTCTTTTTCTAACTGGGGTTCTGCTCAAACAAAGTGATTGTGTGGATTACATTATTGCATTTTTATAGACTTACTTATGGGATGTGTGAACAAACTTGACAGGATGAATAAGATAAGATAACAAGGACTTATATTGATCCCCGTCAGGAAACTCAGGTTTTATTAAAGCAGCAACAGATTAAGAGCGACACAGAGTAGGCTACACATGAGAATATACACAAGGATAATAACAAAACATGTATGAGTTCAACTCTGATCAGGTGAATGTGATCGAGAATACATATATATACTTTTAGATTTGCAGGTACCAGTGTGAGTGAACGTTTTATGTGCATACAGTGCAACTATTATTGATTATTAAACGAAATGAACAAAGTATTGTCTTCTTGTCTTTATTTGGGGAATTCTTTGAGGCTGATTGAGAACATGTGAAGCTAATATGAGAGTTACACTGAAGCACCTTTCCTCCTGAAACACCATCAAGTGCAGTGTTTCTGAGTTGACAGAATAGTCAGGGGATTTGGGTGATGGGAGACACATCTATGGAATCACAATTTCAATAGCTTACCATTAAATGACGGATATGCCTTTCTGTCTGTGGTGTTTTACAAATCAGATATTAATGTGTTGAAGTAAAACATGTGAAATAATATAGCAACATCCTGTAAAATTATGTAAAAACATGAATAAAACTACACATCTTCAGATGTTATACATACATAAGTGTCCTACACTAATAATACAAAGTTATTATTAGTATGCTGTGTGTGCCTTGTGTGCACCGCTTAGTGGTTAAAGCACGTTATTGAATTATTTTTGTTGAATAATGTTATTTGATGAAAAAAATATTAAGATACATACTTTCATAGGGGGAAAGTAGAATCTCAATGATATAAATATAGAATATAAAAAATCAAGAAGATACTGTAAGTGATCTCTACAATAAAACAGTTTAGTGCTGGATGTATAAAGATATTAATATGAGGAGGTGCAAAACAGACAAACTAATTAACCTTTATTTAAACATTAAAGAATACTTTAGGTTAAGGTCTTCTTTCAAATAAGAAAAAAGCTTTGGGGTATCTATCTACCGATGAATATTAAGCCTGACAAAGAACTTAACGTCTAATGTATTGCTTTCCTGCAATGTTAACTATGTTGAAGCACTTATTTTAACTGATATTATACACATTAATTATACTCTTATGTATGTAGATAGTATAAGAAATGTGCAGAATATGACAGTTTAATGGTGGAGGTACACACATATTGATAGATGTCTTGTTGAGGAACCTGTGACCCAAGTTTTTCATTCATTGCATAACTACACCGTAGTTGTGTATATGATATGTCAATAAACCTTAGAAAATCTTGAAATCTTGAAAGGGATTAAATAATAAATAATATACTTTATAGAGATCTGCAGATACATGTTTAGTCTTTTCAAGCACCAACTATCAAATATCTCTCCTGATTGTTGGCACTTGACAATCACCTTCCCTGAATTTTACTCAGGTGTAACTAAAGTCTGATTTAAGGGTTGTTTATATTTCACATCAATAATCAGAATCTGCAAAGTAACTAAAATAAATGTGGTGGAGTAAAAATACCATTAACCTCTGAGATGTAGTGGAGTAGAATTACAGAGTAACAATGAGCTGTCATGTGGGTATATATTAATGCTGCCCATTATGGATACAAGCCCCCCCTTGGGGGGGCGCCAAAGATCGCAGGGGGGGCGCCAGGCCTCAGATGATTTGCGGCCAAATATCATATTTAGACTTTTTTAATTTGTTTCATATAATTGTAAGGCAATACATGATTGTCACTAAAAGCCTTGTCTCTACATTACAATAAAATATAAAAAATAATTGATTAATTAATTTTAATAAAAATTAAAATTAGTAGCTATTACATTACATTACATTACATTGCATTTAGCTGACGCTTTTATCCAAAGTGACTTACAATAAGTACATTCGACCAGGAAGACACAACCTTGAAGAAAACAGAATCATATAAGTACATCAGGTTTCATAGAGCCAAACATTTCAAGTGCTACTCAACTGGCTTTAGGTAAGCCAGTCCTTTATTAGTATAAAAGTGCTTCGTTAATAGTTCTAACGCTCGAAGTGGAGTCGAAAGAGATGAGTTTTCAGTTTGCGCCGGAAGATGTGCAAGCTATCTGCCGTCCTGATGTCAATGGGGAGCTCATTCCACCATCTTGGAGCCAGGACAGCAAACCCACGTGTTTTCGCCGATGGGAACTTGGGTCCCCCTCGCAGCGAGGGCGCAACGAGTCGTTTGGCTGATGCAGAGCGTAGTGCACGCGCTGGGGTGTACGGTTTAACCATGTCCTGGATGTAGGAAGGGCCAGATCCATTCGCAGCATGGTAAGCAAGTACCAGTGTCTTGAAGTGGATTCTAGCAGTTACCGGAAGCCAGTGAAGGGAGCGGAGGAGCGGAGTGGTGTGGGAACATTTAGGAAGGTTGAAGACCAGACGAGCCGCTGCATTCTGGATGAGCTGCAGAGGTCGGATGGCACATGCAGGTAGACCAGCCAGGAGGGAGTTGCAGTAGTCTAGGCGTGAGATGACGAGAGCCTGGACCAGAACCTGAGTCGCTTTCTGAGTCAGCTGGGGACGTATCTTCCTGATGTTGTAAAGCGTGTATCTGCAGCAGCGGGTTGTAGCAGCGATGTTTGCAGTGAAGGACAGGTTGTTATCTAGGGTCACACCCAGATTCCTTGCAGTCTGAGTCGGGGAAACAACTGAGGTGCCGATGTTGATTGTTAGGTCAAGAGTGGGACAATCTTTTCCCGTGAGGAAGAGCAGCTCAGTCTTGTCAAGGTTGAGCTTGAGGTGGTGAGCAGACATCCACTGAGAGATGTCAGCTAGACAAGCAGAGATGCGTGCGACGACCTGGGTCTCTGAGCGGGGAAAGGACAGAATTAATTGGGTGTCGTCAGCGTAGCAGTGGTAAGAAAAACCATGCGGGCTAATGACTGATCCGAGCGAGTTTGTGTACAGGGAGAAGAGGAGGGGACCAAGAACAGAGCCCTGAGGGACCCCCGTAGTTAATTGACAAGGGTCGGACTCAGACCCTCTCCAAGTCACCCTGTAGGTACGGTCTTTCAGGTATGAGGTGAGGAGGGAAAGTGCAGAGCCTGAAACTCCAAGTTTTTGGAGAGTGCGAAGGAGGATCTGATGATTATTAAATCATTAAAGGCATAAAAGACAGAAATGTATAATTCTTTGTTTAATAGAAATGTTTCTTCTGCCCGTAAAGTGTCCAAACCAGGCTTTTCTGGATAAGCGCATTTTTAAAACATAGTCATTGTCCATGCCGGTTTCAGTTGGATTATTTGTCACAGTTGCTCCAATCAGATCGGTCTCCTCCATTTTGTAGATTATTTACGACTTTTGAATCCACATAAACACATCGGCAAAATCCGGCTTACTTTGAGCATGTGTTTTAAACAGTTTAATCCCTTTGTGAATTGTTTCCACTTGCGCCGTCCTTTAATTTCTTCATACAGCGGGAATCCAAATAAATTAATCCTGAGTCCAATAACCATCAAAGTCACTCCAATAGTGATCCTTAATTACGCTTTCATCCTCCTTTAACAAAATACTTCACATTCATCCAGTTTGTGACAGTAGTTGTAGCATTTTTGAGACTTTTAAACTTTAATTACCGCTGTTGCGGTCCAGGTAGGAGTGGTTGAGGAAAATGTCCTAACATTGTAAAGGTCCTCAGATCATTGTCATTGGATGTGGGACACTTTGACAACAAATGTTTTAGCTCTATGAAACCTTATATGATTCTGTTTTCTTCAAGTTTGTATCTTGTTGGTCGAACGCACTTATTGTAAGTCGCTTTGGATAAAAGCGTCAGCTAAATGCAATGTAATGTAATGTAAGATGATCGATGGCTACTGCCATATTTGCAAAATGTGCCTCTGAACCTTGACAAGTGCATGTTTCAGGCTTATCAATGAACAACAGGAGGGGTCACAGACATAAGACCAGCTGTTAAATAAAGCTCTTCTGACCTTAGCTGTCATGTGGGTATATATTAATGCTTCCCATTATGGGCACAAGCCATTTTCACCCATTTATTAATTATATGTTTTAAATTTGAGTGTTTCCTATCCCCTAAACCTCCAGGGATGTACACAGTTTAATACTGGCAACTTCTTATTATGGGAAATACGAAAACGTCTTTTAAAACTACAACTCCCAGTAGAGACGTGCCATAGAACATGTTGCGAAACACACAATAGCCAGCATGTGTAGTTCTGGGGACGGGGTGGGGGAGGGGGGGACGCGGTGGACCCGTTCAAATCCAGTTTTGGACAGTCTGCCGTGGTTCCATCCCATTTCAAAGTGCTGTTCGACGCCTGGCGTAACCCTCGGCGCACACTCAAACATCCAATCACAGAGCTTGAGGACATCGCGGGGTTTGTCAAGCGAAGCGGAGAGAATACTTACTTCCGGGTGTAAAATTCTCTAAAGCAAATGAGCTGCTCCGACCCTCGGTGCTGACGTACTTCAACTTGTGTTTATTAATCAAACAAATAAATAAACACAAGGATGATGATGTGTTATTGTTGAGTAAATAACAGTGTGTGGTTTAGAAAATAATACAAAATTAGAAGGAAAAACCGATGAAACAATACAGATTTCAGTATTCTGAGCCGCTACTCTCCCCATAACTGACGGTAACAAAAGTCCTACATTATTCAATTAAAATAAAGAAGTAAAAACAATAAGTGTGGCTTGATATTGAATAAGAAAAAGGTTGATAAACGCTGTGAGAATGGATCTGCGGAGAGCATTTCGCCGCGATCCCAACTCGTCTATTACCAACGTTCAGGGAGCTCTATGCAAGTCAATGGGACGCCCTGCCCATTGAAAACTGACTCTCAAGGGGTACCCTGTGCGTAATAGGGTGACGGGGAGGGGCCTTGACCGACCGTCAACATGTGACGGGTTGGGAGTGAGAACGTGTTGACCATCCGCACCGGGCTGCTGGGTCTCCAGGAAACCGGGTGGCAAGTGGTGCAGCAACGTCTCCACAAACCAGATCCAGGGATCTTCCGCCCCAGCAGATCCAGCGTCTTCTCCATGAGCTGGGACGGCTTTATTTTTGAATGATCACATGATCTTAACCTCAAGGTGTTTGAAATTCTTTTAACCCTATAATACAATCATTAAATCATTCAGCTTCCGTTCTGAATCTGAGGAGTAAGAAATGTCCCCCCATCTTTCAGATTTAAAACACATTTTTGAGAAATACTAAAAGTGTTTCCCTCCTCAGCCTTCAAGATTGACATCCTTGTGTTATTGTTTTCTTCCTCTCTGGTGGTTTGTGTGAGTTTTATGTTGCTGGTAGTTTTCAGAAATGTTTTCCGGGGTTAGAATAAAGACTTTGGAGGAGGGCTTTGGTTTTATTTTTATTTTTAGGGAGATTTTTGTCCATGTGAAATCTGTCTGGAATTGCACTCAAAAATAAAGTTTGTCACATTTGTTCAAAGGCCTGATTGTTTCTTTCTTGTAATATTCCTCATTTAAACATTAATGTCACTCTAGGAGGTTTTCAAATGCTGTAACTATTTTCTTTATAGGGCGGATCATTCGACAGAGGCACCGAAACTTAAAGGTTAAGGGATTTTAAGATTCTGAAGTATGGTCCTAAAAACGAATTAACTTATATTATTATTTATAGTTTTGCTGAATAGTTTCATGTCAGCTTACCTTAGAACGTAAAAAGCGACGGCAGAAGAAATAAAGTTTAAATTAGAATAAATACAGTTTAAACTGCTTTTGAGCACTTTAATTAAAACTTGATTCAAAACAGCCACTGGAAGAATCAACATTAGAAACTCAAAGAAAGCCAACATTCTTCTTTATACTCATTACATTTATTAAACAGCTATAGGCACTTTACAGATTCAGAGTATTATTTCATACACATTGGGATTAGACACATTGACATATATTGACATATATTGACATATATATAGACATATATATTGACATATAAAGATATCCAGCAGGACAGAAACAAAGCTCTCAGCATGAACACTGCACTTGATGGTGTTTCAGGAGGAAAGGTGCTTCAGTGCAACTCTCATATTAGCTTCACATGTTCTCAATCAGCCTCAAAGGATTCCCTAAATAAAGACAAGAAGGCAATACTTTGTTCCTTTTGTTTAATAATCAATAATAGTTGCACTGTATGCACATAACACTTTCACTCGCACTGGTACCTGCAAATCTAAAAGTATATATATGTTATATATCCATGTTATCTTATCTTATTCATCCTGTCAAGTTTGTTCACACATCCCATAAGTAAGTCTATAAAAATGCAATAATGTGATCCACACAATCACTTTGTTTGAGCAGAACCCCAGCGAGAAAAAGAAAATAATGAATCATCTCCTTATTGATTGTAAAAGTTTATAAATATTATAAAGTTTCTGAGCCAAAAATATGTTCTAAAATCAGCAGAGTTTCATTCTTGCAGGAACACCAAACACAATACTTCTTCGTACTTCAGTACCTCGGTAGTTATTTTACCCAAAAGTTAATTGACTTAACATCATTGCACTATCAAAATCTAAAATGTTGAAACTCAACGTATGCAGGGTTTGCAGAAGTGTAGAATGCCAACATTTGACATGCCGACTGAGCTGGACTTAAACTACTTCTGTCAACTTGAGGTTGCAGAACTCAGCAGTGCCACCAAAATATACTAAATCAAACCGAAGTCCAGCGTGGAGCGGCTGAGTGAAAGTGGTCAGGACTCTGTGGAGGAGAGTCATGGTTTCAGAGACGCTGTAGAAGGACAGAATACCTCCATCGTGATCCAGATACACTCCAACTCTGGAGGACCGAGGACCTGAGACGGGAGTTTTGATGTTGTTGAACCAAAAGCTATAATTGTTAATGTCAGAATATAACGTCCAAGATTTATCATTGTATCCAAACAAACATTTATCTGAACTTCCTCCTCTGATGATGTTCTTGTATGCCACTGCTGCACAAACTCCCCACCCTCTCAACTCCACTTCCCAGTAACAACGTCCAGTCAGACTTTCTTTACTCAGGACCTGAGGCCATTTCATGAATCTGTCTGGGTGACTTGAATATATCTGATGTTGACTCGTGAATGTTGCTTTCCTGCCCTCCTCAGTTAATAGCAGCTGTGTGTTTGCAGTGTTTGGATCCAGAGTGATGTCACGTGAATATTTTAAGAATTCAGCTCTGGTCTTTGGCTCTGGTGGAGGCAGTAAAACGTCCACTTCACTCACCATCAGTGAGATGTTTGTCCACATCTTCTTCAGGACGTCCTGTAGTTTATCTCTGACTTCTGACACAGCCGCCGTCACGTCCTGAAAGTAGCGCAGAGGACGGACTTTGATGCTGGATGAGTGTTTGGAAACACTGAGAGGTAACAGAGAGGGGTAGTTGAGCAGAAAGTGGGTGTGATCCTCTGCGTGAGAGAGCTTCTGCAGCTCAGCGTCTCTCCTCTTCAGCTCCCTGATCTCCTGCTCCAGCTTCTCCTGAAGATCTCTGACTCGACTCACTTCAGTTTCCTGCTTGGATCTGACCTGCTGCTTCACATCAGAGCTTCTCTTCTCCATGAGACGGATCAGCTCAGTGAACATCTTCTCACTGTCCTCCACTGCTTTATCAGCAGAGCCATTGATGGCCTCCACCTCCTGCTGAAGCAGCTTCACCTCCTTCTCTCTGTCCTGGATTCCCTGCTGGATGTTTTGTCGACTCCCTTCCAGCTCTCTCTGCCTCTCAGTCCTTTCTGCTGCAGCCAAAACTGTCTTGTGACCTTTATGGTCATCCATAGGGCAGAGATAACAGATACACTGCTGATCAGTGCGGCAGAACAGCTTCTTCACCTCCTCATGGCGAGAGCACATGCTCTCCTGGAGCTTCTTGGAGGGCTCCACCAGCTTGTGTTTCTTAAAGGCAGGTGATTCATAATGAGGCTGGAGGTGTTTCTCACAGTATGAGGCCACACACTGCAGACAGGACTCCAAGGCTTTCAGTTTTCTGCCAGTACAGCAATCACAGGCCACATCTTCATCTCCAGCATAGCAGTGATCAGCAGGAGCAGCTTGGAGTCCAGATTTCTTCAGCTCCTCCACTAACTCTTCTAGCATGGTATTTTTCACCAGGACAGGCCTTGGTGCAAAGGTCTGTCTACACACTGGGCAGCTGTAGATTCGATTCTCATCCTCTCCATTCCAGTGACTTTTAATACAGTTCATGCAATAGTTGTGTCCACAGGGAATAGTCACCGGTTCCTTCAGTAGATCCAGACAGATCGAACAGCTGACTATCTTTTGGTCAAGCCGATTTTCTTGCTGCGCCATTTCACCTCTCTGTGTAAGCAAATGTCCGTTTCACTTTCACTGAATAGAAACAAGCTCTGCTCCGCCTGCTCTTGTTTATGTTACTTGTCCCAAAAGCTTGGGTACCACAGCAACAATAAATAAATCTGTAGAAAACAGAAAAGTGCAGCAGCGTGAAATCAACACAGGATCCGGTTGATCGTCTGGATTGCTTCTCATTCAAAATGCACAGTACACATACAGTTACATACAAATAGCTTTACTTAAAGGTCCCATGTCATGCTTTTCTGGTTATTACCCGTCCCCTTGTGTTATTAAGGTTTTTATGCATGTAAACGGTCTGAAGAGTCACAAACCCTCAAAGTACACCCTGTAGCGAGTAAAACTCTAACACAGAAAAGACCTGTCTATGCTGCCCCAGAACGCCTCGTTGGAGAGTTCTCTTTTTCCATTGTTTACTTCTTGGGTACAGTGACGTATTTGGGTATAGTGACGTAACGTAACGTCCGCGGAGCCGTTACAGACAGTGTGAGCTGGCTCACTGGTGGGAGGTCAGCGAGACAGCGAGACACTGCGGAACTCAGCCTGAGCACACACACAAACCTTCAGGCTGGGTTTCGCTGTGTCTCGCTGTCTCGCAGACGGCCACTGGGCTCACAGGGAGGGGGGGGGGGGGGGGGGGGGGGTGGGCAGGAGCTCCAACAAGCCGTTTAGGACAGAGAGTGAATACACATACTATACAGAGATGCTGTGAGAAACCAATGTGAGTTTGGAAAATTGCACAGTATAAATCTATTTTAGTAGACCTCAACAATGGAATTATGATCAGTAGAAATGGCCATGACATGGGACGTTTAAATAAACATACCAAATTTTTCTATGTCACAGTCAATTACTGTACCTCAAGTGCACCATCATTCCCAACTTAAACATGTATCTCACTCACTAGTGTGTGACACAGTTTTATACTTCCCAACACATTCTGTATAATATCACATGTGCAATATGGAAGCAAACAAGAGACAGAAGTATTTGAATTTTATCAGACACCAAATTTATAGCATTGAAAATAATTACTTTGAAAATCATGTATCTGAATGTTTTTGTGAAATAAAAATGTAACAATTCAAGTTAAAAAAATTCGAATAGTCAAATTCCGATCCCAAAAATTCAAGTGAAAACTATTTGAATGCACAATTTTGGTGTATAAAATTTGACGTCAAAAATGTCGGTGTTTAAAATTCAATGTGCAAAATTGAGATGCAACATCATCCGGGCTACTCAGACAGGATAAGCAATCGAGCCCGAATTCAATCAAACCGACTTCTGGCCTATCAGAGCCAAGCGGCGAACTCCGGGACAGTGCGGTGAAGCCCAATGCTGCAAACTGTAGGCGATGGATGCAGATGGGAGCAATTCCCGTAGACCCTATGTTAAAATGTTCAACTTAACATCAGAAAATGAACATGTTTCTAGCCTGGATCCACAAAAACATATTCTGTATATAGTTAAATTCCCCCTTCACATACATGCCAACCTTTCCAAATCCAAAAGAGGTTTGCGCGCGGCAAATGTGCACGCCCAAATTAGGTAATCAGAAGAAATGGAACCCCAGTAATTACATGTATAAACCATGTATTTAACATATATTGCATCATTTTATGCATTTTTCAGAAAAAGTGGTAGTTTGGTAAGCAGTGACATCAACGACATGTCTGGTCTGTAAAATGCCCGAAAAGTAAAAGAATGGGAGATAAATATCCCAAAGTCTCCACATTTTATTATATTTGTAATGTGTTTCTGGTCCTCTTTCAGAGTTGAGACAGTGTAGATCAGGGGTGCCCAACCAGTCGATCGCGATCGATCGGTCGATCGCGGGGAGATTCCCAGTCGATCGCGAGATGTGTCTAAAAATAGAACAACAACATTCTGTTTTATCGTTAATGTCCTGTAACATAAAAAGCTTTGTGATTGGCCGGCGTGACCCCATGTGTCGGGGCGTGGCTGGTGGGCAGTGGGCACTAGTTCGCTGACGTTGTCCGTGTCAACAGGAGTGACAGTCCGCACACACACAAGACCGCAATTATGGCAGAAGCAAAAAAGCCCAAAATATATAATTTTCACTCCGAGTGGGAGGATGATTATTATTGTATCTATTCCAATTCAAACTCCATCTGTCTCATCTGCAATGCGAGCGTGGCTTTATCGAAGAAGGGTCATTTAGGAGCGGCATTTCAAAACAGTGCACAAACGCTACGAGACGGAATTCCCTCCTAATTCTGCCCTACGCTCCAAAAGGGGAGGGGCCTGAGAGGACAGCTAAATGCACAGCAGTCCATTTCCACCAGGGCCCAACAACAAGAGCAAGGCTGCTACCATAGCATCTTATCGTGTCAGTCACGTTCTTGCGAAACACATGAAGTCTTTCAAAGACGGCAAAGTTGTGAAAGAAGCATTCCTGGAGGCTGCCGACGCGCTTTTGGGGGACAGTAAAAATAACAGCAGCATTTCAACAGGTTTTTGATATAATAAAAACTCAAGTTAGATACCGTTATTAATCAGCTGTAAGTTTTAGTTTGTTTGAACTTATTCATTATAATTATTGTACAAAATGGTATAAAAATGCAAACATTAAGATCTGTTCTGTTTAAATTGATTATAGTCTATTATCAATTCAGGTTAATAAACTAGAGTTGCTTGCATCCTATTTTAAAAAGGCATTTCTTTTTATAATCTACTAAAATGCTACAAAAAAGGGTTTGATTCTATTAATTTTGTCTTTTTTATTGCACTTTGGCAGCAGATTCCTGTGCAGCTTCAGATCCGAGTTGTCTTATTAGTAAGTATAATTTATACTTTTGTAGCAACACTATTTTTATATAATGGCAAAGAAAGGGTTCAGAGTCTTTTCTTTTTTTCCTGTGTCATATGTGGCAGCACCGTTCAATGTTTCTTGAAAACATTACCCACTGTAGTGACGTGTGAATAAAGTCCAACTCTGTATCAACAACACTGTTGTGTAACTTCAGTTAAATACTTGTATGTGTGTAGATTAGAAAGAGGTAAGATAAAGGATCTGCAGTATTTTATGAAGTATTAATCGTACAAAGGTCAGTTTTATACAAGTAGAAGTGTGTATTTACCTGGTAGTAGGCTGTCAGTAATGGCTACGCCTCTATTTGGACTGGTAGATCTCGGCAGACTGGCAACTTTAAAAGTAGCTCTCGGTTCAAAAAAGGTTGGGCACCCCTGGTGTAGATGAAGGATGTGTCAGGATGTAGAACTCTTGTGTGAACATTGGATAAAGCCAGGTTCATATTCTTGTTTCATGTTGTTGACATATTAGAGTCAAAGGTTTGCACAGAGCGAAATATCTTTGTGTTGCGCCATGAATCAGAAAATACTGCATTAAAAAAGTCATTTCCTGCATTTTTCTACTGATAAAGTGTGATATAAATAATGCACAGGCTTTCAGATTGCTGTAGTTCACTAAACAGAGACATTAACGACATGTTTGGTGTTGAAATTGTCAGAAAAAGTGAAAGAATGGGAGATAAATATCCCCAAATCTCAAAATTGTATTATATTTTGCCATTTTGCCACACTTATTGTTTTTACTTCGGCTGTGAGTGTTTGTGTGTGCTCAGGATGAGTTTCGCTTGTTCTAGCTGTATCGCCAAGCCTGTCTGCTCCTCCAGCAGTGTGTGTGTCTGTGTGTGTGCGAGCAGTGCTAACTGGGCTAACTAAGTTGCTAGCGTTTCCATATATCAACTCCAATGTTAGCAGATGGCCTTACATGTATCTCATAGCTGGAGAATGTCTGCAATCACACACGAAATACTCATAGACAGTATACTCCGGGTGATTTACAGTACGGTCAGTACATTATAGTTGGCGTTCCTGGTGTGTATGCTACATATAGTGCTGCGTACCGGTACGCCGAACCGGTACTGGACTTGTAAAAAGTTTCGGTTTAAGTCCGGTTAAAACCGGAACGTCGGAAACCGGTACTTGGACTCGCAAAAAAACTAGCACTTACGTATATTCTGGTGTCTGTGGTTATTTAAACATTCCCTGATAAACGTTATTCAGCGTCAATAAATGAGTGCTAATCCCAGTGTGCTCAGTGTACAACATCACATGTCATTTCACCTTCGATTCACGGTTTGAAAACGTAGCATTTCGCCACATGCTAATGCTAACCGGAAGTGAATAATTTTCAGAATAAAAGTATTAAGTTAATAGTGTCACCTTCCGGTTTTTTCAGAATAAAACAGATTTAAATTAAATAGTGTATTTAATTCAAAATGTCGCCATATCAACATTGATTTTAATTTCTAACATGTAGTATGTAGACCTACTGTACAGTGTGAGAAAAAGTTTTTAGAGAGTACTTGTCCATGGACAAGTGAGTTTGGCAATTTACTTGTCCGAATACATTTTTCACTTGTCCAGAATGGACATAAATTGGGGCCACTGGAATCTTCTTCTTCATCATCGTATTTTACATTTTCCCACGTTTTTTACGACACCGCTAACGTAAGTGAGCGGTAAGATTTTACTGCATCACACATAGGGTTGGGTATCATTTGGATTTGAACGATTCCGGTTCTGCTTTTCGATTCCAGTTATTTTTGGTTCTCGATTCCGGTTCTTAAGAGGGTAAAAATAAGTCCCATGACAAACTGGGAGAAAAATATATTTATGAAAACATTAAGTCAAATCTGTATTCCTATTTACAAATCACTTCATACTGTTTAATTTCTTACGGTTATTGAATACAATTATATAAAAATAATCTCTGCATTGATTAGTTAGTTCTAAATGGTGCAGTTTGAGAATGCACAATTGGCCCAGTCTCCTCTGATGTTACACTGCAACCTGCCTGTGAGACAGAGTCCAACCACACAGTCTGTGTGTCCAACACATGTCCTGCAACACACATGCTGCAACCTGCCTGTGAGACAGAGTCCAACCACACATGTCCAACACATAGGCCTAATAATAATAATAATACATTATATTTATAGACTATAGGCCTAGCGCTTTTCTAAAACTCAAAGACGCTTACACATGTCCTGCAATACACATGCTGCAGCTGCTCACTGTTTGTAAAAGTAAATAAATAGTATTTTCATTTCAATAA